TTAATCATCATTTGCATTCACTACTCAGAATACTACTACAATCTCAAATGAAATACTTTAACAATATTATTTAAGAATCTTAACTTTTCTGTATGATAGATATCTCTTCTCAATGCTAGGTAGTAGAAATGAGACTCTTTGCCTACATAATTTATAACTCTACATACATATATGTTGTTGCTAGCCTACCAACTGCCAAGTATAAAAAATATAAAAAAGAATGCGAAGTAGGTGCAATATAGCACCAATGTCTTTCACTTTCTTCATCTCTAACGATGGTGCTTCCTCTCCATCTTTCATACTCAATTTAATCCACCCATTTAGTCCGTCATTTGCTTAATCCGCCATCTGCCCAATTCGAGACTTTGTTCAGACGAAAGCGGCTAAATTTTGTAAGAAATCAAATTACATAAATTCCAAGATTTTAAACCCAAAACTAACCTATGCACACCCTTAATTTTAATCTCAACATTCATAACTATTTAATTTACTTGACTTCTAAGGAACAATATTTTTAAGCGTTTGCTATATAGTCTCTGAAACGATACTAGGAAAGTTTAAAATAGTTCATTTTATTGTAATTGGCAAGTACATTTATCTGTTGATTGAAATTTTTTTAAGAGTATTAAAATACACAGTATATTTATTTGATTGATCATTAAGATTGACTTGAATGTATTCAATGGCATTAATATAAGATAAGTAAGCACATAATTGCAATTTCTTTGATAAAAAGAAGATATTCATTGATTCTTGATATTCTTGAGTTATGAACGCAATTAACTTACCTTGACTCTTACCGTGACATCAAAATACAATTCAAGTTGTTTCTAGATTTCAAACAAAAACTTTCACTCTACCATTTTAGTGTTGAGATTAGTTGACATGAAGGTTAGGAGCTAGTCAAGATTAATTGATCTTGTTGCTTTAAAGTGAGATTTTCTTCACTAATTGTTTTAATTGTTGTATTCTCTTGTATATGATACTTTGTTGACATTTCACTTGTATTTTTCAATCAGACCTAATGCTCATAACATCCTAGTAAGAAAATTGTCATCATCCAATTTGATTGATGAATGGTTGAGTGATAAGCTATGAAAGCATAATTAAACCAAAAGTCGTGAAGAATAAGGTTTGATACCATAAAAATATATGAGCAATGATTAAAAAATAACAAAATCTTTTAAGATGAATGAAAACATGTAACTTCCTCTATCTCCCTACTAATATTCAAGCATTCTTCAATTGGATCAAAATTGTTTACTTTCTCTATCATACAAGACTTAATTTGATCAAAAACATCAACTATTTAACACTTTTTACTTCATCAAGGTGTTGCATAATTTCAAATACATTAAATATTATCTTTTCATCTTAAACTCTTAGCATTATTTTACCTTGCTACATGTTTATAAGGGTTTTCTATAACTAAAAATGGTCTACCCAAGATTAAAGGCACCTCTACATCTTTCTTTATCTCTAAAATAAAAAAGTTTGTATAGAAAATAAATTTGTGAACATTAACAAGCACATCCTCCATCATTCCAGTAGGGATGCTTGATAGACCTGTTAGCTAATTGAAGCATTATTTTTGGTTTGTTTGACTTCATCTAACCTTTTCAAAATAAAGAAAGGTATCAATTAATACTAGTTCTTAAGTAACAAAGATTCTTATCAATGACTATTTTGTCTAAGTATAAAAGATCGTAAAACTCCTTGGATCTTTCAATTTAGATGGCAATTTTCTCTTGTAGAATAAAATTGCACTCTTAAATTAGTGTTTTGGTCTCATCTTCTTGCAATTTTCTTTCTTTGTTAGGAGTTCCTTCATAAACTTGTCATAGGTGGACATATTCTCCAATGTTTAAACAAAAGGATAATGAGTTGCAATTTCTTAAAGATCTCTAAAAAAATTATTATGCTACTTATCATTTTTTTTCTTTTTCTTTATTTCTTAAGGAAGATACTTCCTGATTTCTCCTCTTCAATAGTAGTATTTTAGTTATCCTTAATAAAGAGTTTTCATTTACCAATTTCTTTCTTTGGAGCTTTGCATTTACTATTCTTCTAGTTACATTCTCCTTTTGATCATTATTTTTATATTGAGAATTATTTTAATTTTTTTCTCAAATCATCATTCTTCTTTTCAACTTTATTCTCAATTGGTCCATCTATTGTCTTACTACTTCTCAAAGTGATGACACTACAATTTGCTTTAGGATTTATCACTAGATTTGTTGAGAATGTATTTTCAAAACTCTTTGCAATTTCTAGTGAAAGTTAACCTAGCTATGTTTAATATTCATAATAGATGCTTAATGGTTCTTAACCATAGCCTTCATGTTAGTCATGAATGAAGAAGTTTGCATGTTAAGCTTCTCTTATACAGTTTCCCAATATAAATTTTTCATGTTTATTTGATATCAGTAAGAGTTGGTAGCTTGATTCTACTGATACACAAGTTTTTGTTGAGAATGTTGACCTTAGTGACCTTGTCTTCTCCAAGATAAGTTAAGGTGGTCCCTTCAATTTGATTGGTAAGCATTTTTTAATTGATGATTTTATTGTCCTAATGCATTTACCTATTCCTTTGCCTACTAAACTTCTTGGCATTCACCATTTGCATATGCCTCTCCACAGAAATCACATTTTAGTAGAAGTATAGTCACTGTATTTACTTGCAAATTAGCAAAATGATAAGTTAAATTAGTAAGTTATTTTGTAATAAGTTTATTTTGAGTTAATAATACATAAAAATGTTAACTTCAAATACTCATTTTCTAACTTGTCTACCATATTTTACATTAACACTACTAGTTGTCACATTTTGTGTTTTGAGTACAAATGCTCCTCAATTAGTTGCATCATTTAATAATTTCTCATTGCTTTCAATCCATTATAAAAGGTTTGAGATTGAAGCTATTTTATTAACTTATGGTGAGAATTTATTTTCAATAGCACTTTGAATCTCTCCTAAGTATCATGAAGTGTTTTATGATCCTACTAAACAAAAACTCTTTTTTCCCTCATTTTTTTCTAATTTTGTATAAGGAGAATGCTTAATAAAAAATTTTATGGCTAAATTCGTCTAAGTAGAGATACTTCCTTGAAGTTGAGCTCTAAGTCAACTCATAGCTATATCTCTAAGTGAAAATGGGAATAATCTTAACCTCACTACATCCTTTCCTATCTCATTACATATGTAATATGTCATAGAGCCACTTAGGGTCTTCAAAATCACTTTCACCAAATTTATTTTGTTGTATCACATTAAGTAATGTAAAAGAAATATGAAAATATGAAGGTTAAATTGGTGATCTGATTATAAATTGTGACATTAAGCAAAGAATAGTCTCTTTTGAATTCTTTTGTAATTATTTTCCAAAGCTTGTTCTGAAATATTTTATGATAGCGATTTTTCTACTTCCTTTTATCTTACTAGTCACTCTTTCATATATAAGTTCAAAATGCAATTTTTAAGGATTAGTTAAAGTTGACAACATGGAATAGATATAATATAAAAAGGCAAATGCATTAAACCAAAAGTAATTGATGATAGCATAAATAAAATAAAATAAAGATTTATAAAAAAAATTATAACAAAAAATAACTTAATTACTAGAAAACAAAAATATCCTAATTGTATTAACTGAAAAAATTGAAATAAAAATAAAAATTTAAATGCACAAACACTTTCACTTTTCCATGCACAAAAATTATAATTATTACAACTAAATTAATAACAATAAACATGAACAAAAAATTTTTCAGAATTTTGCAATAAAATTAAATCCAAACAACATAAACTTATATATATACATTATAGCTATAATTGAAAGAAATTATTTTAGTATGGTTTCAAAAGCATGGTTATAAAAATAAAAGTATGAATACGATGAATTTATAAATTAAGGATAGAAATCATGTTTCAAGACTTGATATTTCAAGTACCATGAAAATATATTCATTTAAAATGGTAGATATATTACAATGATAGAAAGTCACGGTTTGGTACACTAGTGGATTTATGTGGCATAGATGTAGCGGTTCCTAGGAGATTTGGATGACAAAGGTCACTAACTCAATGAGAACATGGCCTTCCAAGCTAGTATTAGGGTGAAAATGGAACAACTTGTCACATATCAACTTAGTACAACACTTATCTCCATGATCAGTAGGGATTAATTTTAAATCCAAAAAAAATTGAAAATTTGAAATTATTTTTCCATTTATTGTATTTCATTCATATTTTATTTATTTATAGTTAATTTAATAATTTAAACTTCATATTTTTAATTAATTTTATTAAATATAATGATAATTTTATTTCTTTAAGAGAATGTAAGTAAATTACTTTATCCATACAAAAATATTTGAAATAAAAAAATTTAATTATTCAATCTAAACAAAATATTTCGTGCCCCTTTCGAAAGTATTCGCCCACTCCCTGTATAGGACTATTAAGAAGAAAGAAAAGATAAGAAAAACTAGTATTGGGTGGAAAAAGGCAAGAAAAAGCTATTAGTAAGGTAGGAAGGAGAGGCCTGTGTTTCATTATGTTAAGCAGCGTTTATCTTTACAATAACAAAAACTCAAATGATCTAATTTAAATTTTTTAAAATTTTAAATTCTCTAAAAAAATTAATTACCTTATCCAAACTCAATATTAGTGTTTCTCTATTATGATTTTGAGTTAAAATTTTTATTTGTTGATCTTTTAACTTGTACCTTTCTATTAATGTGATCCAATTTTTTTAAAAAAATTATTAACCAATATCTTTTGAATACTAATTAATAATTTTTTATATTGTTTTTATGAAAAAAAATATTAACCATTAACAATATTTTTTAATTTAACTTAAAGAATTCATTAATACTATTTTTTATTATAATATAATATCTAATAAAAAAAATAGGCGAAGAGAAAACCTTGGATAATACCATACAATAGGTTAGAGTTAATTTGCATTTAAAACCAATATGCAAGTGTCGAAGACTAAAAGTTCGTGTAAGTCATCCTTTTCCCCTGATAAATATATCACATCAAAAGACCACATTAATACTAAAATTTTCAACTACTGGCTAAAAACAATTGCAACCAGTAAGTTATCCAGTTTCCATTCCTCTACCCGAACAGAACCATGCCTTAACAAAGTATAAATCCTAAAGCTGGAAAGAGCCAAGAATTGAAGAAAACTACGTTTGCAACGAACAAGCACATTAGTAAATAAATATAGCCTACATTTTGCTGATGAGATCACCAAGAAAAGTAACTACCCTCTCTACAAAACACCCACATATAGGTGGGGCCAGAGGGAAGCAATCAAAATCTAGGATTACACACAGCAGCCACCCTTACTGCCACCAGCATTCGTGTCTTGGCTAGGAACAATTATCTTGGTTCCCTTCAGAAGCCCTGAACTACCACTTGGATCTGCCTCATCATTGGCAGTAAGTGTTTTCTTGCCGATAAGTCGGTATATCTCAGTTAGAATAGTCAGAAAGGCAGTTTCCACATTCGTGGACTCAAGTGCTGATGTCTCCATAAAAAATAGGTTCTCTCTTTGCGCAAATTCCTGGGCGTCTTCGGTTGGCACTGCTCTAAGAGTTGCCAGATCACACTTATTGCCTATTAGCATTATAACAATATTTTTGTCAGCATGGCCTCTCAGTTCCTCTAACCACTTTGCCATGTGATCAAACGATTGACGCTTAGTCATGTCATAAACTAACATTGCTCCAACAGCACCGCGATAATATGCACTAGTTACTGCCCTGTATCTGAAAGAGAGAAGAGTGTCACATTCAGAACCTGAGCATCAAATAAAAGCTTCAAACTCTCAAATAAAATATGAAAACAAACAATTCAGGTTGTAAATGACCAACTAGGATGCAAACCAATTTATTGCAGGGAACTATACATCAATTTAGGTTACTTATGATATATAACCTTGCATGCCGAAACAACTACCTCAACAACCCACAAGATACTACAAATTTGGCTCCTCTAGAGTGAGGTTACAATTCAATTATATCTGCTGATTATGAAATAATCCGTTGAGACTTTAACTGCTACATAATTTGTTATGCATATGCAGGTAATTTTCACAATCTCAAAAATCAACGGCCATAACTCTGCACTTTACCACTTAAGTGTACTCCTCACTTTAAAGGAGTTAAATCCTCAAAAGACATGGTTAACAACATTACATCAAATTTAGGAACCACTATTTAAACCTTAATCACATAATCCTCAAATTTCCAAACAACAAACAATCCTAAGTAAATTTTGCTGACGGGGAACCAAATGAAATTTCCCGTTTCACATGCATCCCACACCAAAAGGAAGTGATAGTCACAATCACAACTTTTCAATTTGAGCATATTAAACAGAACTAGTAGTTCCAATAATTTCCATTTGTTTTCATATTATATACGTTGTTTGTCCCTGACAGAGCTTCAAATTATCAGTCCAAAGCTTAGTTTTCCCAACTTGTTTGCAAAGCAGTTTATGTACCGGTTAACTTAAGGATTTAAGCCTAATATATATTAACTTTTCAATAAATATTTATGGGAGAGAGAAAAATAAGTAAAATGAGTCAAATTTCTCCTATAAGTTGAAATGAACTTATGTTCTTTTACTTATTTAGAAGTTTTTTTAATTAACTTCTTCAAAAGTGAGGTGCATTAGTTAATTTAAAATTATAAAAAGGATTTTAGTCATTTTATTCTTTATTTTCTTCTTTTACAAGTACTTTTACGTTAAGTTTACCCAAACAGATCCTTAACCAAACATTTTCAACGCATCTTATAATAGGATAATCCATTCCATTATTAGACTAGCAATCTGAATGAAACCTCATCAACCAACAGAACCAAATTGAACAGTAACTTCTTCCTTATTATGAATTCAGCCCAAAGAGCAATACTATCAATTCACCTGATAGAATATCAAGGACTTGACCCTTATCACAAAGCACATATCAACTAGGATCAAACCCTATATGTAAAAGAGCGTATCTTAAGCACATAAGAAAAAAGCTCAAAATAAATTAACAAATAACATATGATATGCAATTTCAAACAAGGGACGAGAATAATAAACGGTGCGTTTTGATGGTCATTTCTATACTGTTATATATTGGACAAAACTTAAAATTTTGTGATTGTAGATTTTGCAAGGCAATTGAATTGATACGAATGAGAAAACAACGTGTAACTGAATGCAAAACGCAGAAAGAGGGAGGGAGGAACCTTTCTTGGCCAGCAGTGTCCCATATTTGGGCCTTGACGGTTTTGTTATCAATGATGAGCGTTTTGGTCTGAAACTCAACGCCGATGGTGGCTTTGGAATCGACGCTGAATTGGTTCCTGGAGAAGCGTGCGAGGAGTTGGGTCTTACCGACGGCGGAGTCTCCGATCAACACCACTTTGAACACGTAATCGATCTTCTGGTTGTAATCGCCGTACAAATTCGACATCCCGCGGAATTCTACTCAATTCGGTGGCTACGCGAGATGGAACGTGCCGTCGTTTACATCAACCATCCCTTTCTTATTGTCCTTATGAGCGCCCATCACATGTTGATGTCGTTAACCAAAATCGAAGGTCGTTTTTGGGTTGACAAAAAAGAGGCGTGAGGGGCACGGAAAATGGTGGCGGTTTGGGTTTGGCAACGGGTTCAAGTTCAACCGTTCAAGGGATTCTTCCCCTGTGCCAAGGATGCAAATCTTTTGAAAAATAATAATAATAAAAAAAAAAAATCACTTTCATTAGTCAATACAGTCGATAATACTATTAATATTGCAATGACAACAGGGTTTTAATTTATAATAAATAGAAGACTCCATGAACGTCAATTAACAAATTTAATTTGTCCCTGTGAAAATTAATTAAATACCAACAAATGACAAATTCTAAAGGATAAAAATAATTAATCTAAGCCATATATTATCAAAAACTCATTTTGTCATTAGACTAAATATATAATTAACTTTCAATTTCTCATTAGACTAAATATATATTTTGTCATTTATTACGATTTTATCAATAGTAGTTAATTTAATACTGACGTGATTTGACGTGATGAGGGTATCTGCACATGTTAAAGTCAGGATTCGATTTTAAGTAATAAATATTATTTAATATTGAAAAGTTAATATTTTATCTTTACATTTTACCTTTATTTTATAGGCAGTATTATGGTTTAATGGACTTGTTGAGTCAGCTTGGTTTTGGCCCTCTAATTAGAGAGAATTAATAATTTAATTATTACTTTTAATTATGTTAATTACCTTTAATCCTGACTCAGATGATATTCGGCTTGTCTTGACCAAGAGAGTACTTGGTTCCTTTTTTCTATAAATAAGACCGAGTACTGTCTTGTCCGGTACAAAATTAAATAAAAATAATCTTTAAATTAAAAATTTATAAAAAATTTAACTAATATTTAATTAAAAATAATATTAAAAGGAAAAACTTCTAAAAACACACTTCCTTAAGAATTTATATTTATAAACTATATACAAAGTTAATTCATTGCACGGTTCACAAACCACAAGAGTATTGCCAAAATTTTGTAGTTTATTGCCTACCTTGAGTAATCACAGACTCCTCCATGCTTTTACATATTAAGACCATCTTCTTTACCAGAGTTGCATTATGAGTTTCTCAATTAAAATTTTGTTAGGTTAATACACATATTATTAGTTTCTTCCACAAACAACTAAAATTAGTTGCTTACTATTTTTAATTGTGTTTTACTATAATTATAAAATAAGCAGCATACCACGTACAGATAGTGGTGCTCTAATACATGCATAAAATAGGATTAACAGCGTAAAAAAGAAAACCAATCATCAATAATTAATATTAATTTGAATAAAGTGTTTGGAGAATCTTAGGAATGAACCTGTTGTCAACAGCGAAAGCAACAAATATTCTCCCACACCTGTGCAGTTAAACAGATAGAATCAAAACTACTCTCAGCAGTATAATAATTTGGCAGAAAATTAAAATAAAATCAGAGTCTTCCAAGCAGCAGAATACTCACCCAATGGGTTCAATACAACCATATAACTTTACTATGTGTGGGTGTCACAAACAGCCACTAGAGAAGGCAATAAAAAATTGGAAGGCTATATCAAACTATCAAGCTAAACATCAAGAACAACATACTAAATTTTCGTGATAAACGAAGCATGTTTACCCGTCTAATGATGAACCCACTGCACTATCCTTTCTCTTTCTTCTTCTCTCCGCGTTGTTTTTGCTTCTCGCACGTTTACATGAAGTACTAATTCTTTCCACCCATATCTCTAATACAACGAGTTTTCATTTCAATTGTTTTTGAGAAATTCAAAACAACTTGAGAAGGCAAAATTTTGTAGTATTGGTTTACAACAGTCATTGCAAGCTATCCAACCTGGTCTATAGTAAGCTTATTCAGATCAAGTTTTAAAACTTCAAAATTATTTATTCTTCCAAATGCAGTCTAGGTTTGGCGATGAATAAAAGAAAAAGATGCAGTAATAATAATAATAATAAAAAGTTTCACGAGTCCATCCATACTATGCCCATTTTTTTATATTTAATTTATTTGAGCTCTAATTTTAATGATTTAAATTCTATATTTTAATGAACACAATCAGGTGCGTCTGACGAATCCATTTCGTGGACTCAAGGTAGGTCCAACTGTCTTTGATATTTCAAGGTACAAAACAGAGAGAAAGTAGCCAAACACGACCATATACCAGTTCGTGTTTTTATTCTCTTTCCATTTTTCGCTAGTGACGAGAAAACTGGTGGGGATATGATATGGTTAAATACAGAAAAAGAAAATCATAGAATGGGTCATGCTTGTAGTTACAGTTGGTCATAAATGAAGGCGTGCGTCAACCTTTTCCTCTCGGACAAGTGTCTGAGTCAGCATCAATCATCAATGACATTTTACAGGTCGCAATATGCAACTCATCTATTAAGGGCAAAACAATTTATATGTTCTCCATCAAAATAGCAAAATGGCCATGCATAATAGTTTTATTTATATATTATACTCAATGACGAGACGCAAGCAACAAATATACTTCATCTATATCCTATCTAAGTTTAAAACTTTCACATACTATAAAAAGTAAGAAAAAAAGAGTACATTACTTGAAAAGGAAAACAATTACTAAGACTCTACTATACAAAATTACAAATATACTATTTGATTTATTGATTCTGTAATTGAAACCCCGTTAGCTTAAAGAACCTAGATATTGTGGTAAAGAGCTACAAGCTAGTAGTAGTATTCAGTGTCGCCTTTGAGATATAATAGCATCCTATATTAGCATCTTTCCTTCTACTTATTGTTCAGCATGAAAGTTAAAAGCACCCTATCCAAGCCATCTTTGCATACTTTTAAGTATTGCTCATAAAGGAATGTTATCAAGCAATTTGATGTGTATCTGCCTTTTGCAAGTTTATACATTTGCAGTTTGCCCGTTTTTCACTAAGAGTCTGCAAGTAAATGAAAAATGAGTGTTAAAATGAGTCAAATTATAATTCCATGATATTAATTTGAAAACATGATTGGATTCACGTTTAAATGAACATGAATTTATATTTACTTTAAGGCTAATAACTGTAGCTTCTACGTTGAATTAATGTTGACAAGTTTTTTAACGCGTTTGTAAAGAGAGTCCACTGATCTTTTCCAAATTCTATTTTTATGTTACCTTGAATTGTTTCTGAAGATCTTTAATGTATTCAACAGCCAAGTCCAACATGTCTGCTGTGTTGGTTTGCTGCCAAGAACGCGAAGAATGTCAACTTTCCATACACAATCATAGCATTATATCATATATGTAATTTATTTATATATTCCAAACTCAACCATGCTTGATGTGTCTTACCTTGTCCATGTTAGGAACAAGCTCTTGTAATTTTCTCATTCTTTCACTGATCCGAGTTCTTCTCTCCTGAAAACAGACATTTATTCTCAGAATCATCGTTTACAAATTATTACTCCATGAACTCATCGTAGTCTAGTAGCATGTTTGAAACAGCTTACTGACAACAAATAACAATCAAACCTTATTCCATTAGGTAGGGTGGCTACATGAATCACACCATGTCACTACACTCAATCAAAAACCAATTCTCTCTAGTTGTTTGAAACAACTTATTTCAAAGTAAATAATTACTTTTTAAAAGCTCTTTCAGAAAACTAACAAAAATAAGCGATTATTTTTTAAAAATAAGTTACTAAATAATACTCTATTGTTTTGGCATAGGAAAGGACTGATAGCTACATTCCATCTCTCAAAAATCAAAAAGCTACTTCCTTCCATTATAGTTATTAATTCCTAATTGTAAGATAAGAAGATGCATTGAAAAACTAATGAGTTTTACATATAGACAAAATCCTACCCTTTCAGCAATACTTCGAGGATGAGTAGCACAGCCTCGCTTTGCTCTAATTTTACAAGGAACAGAATCAGGGAACTGAAGCAACTTCTCCATAGTAATCATATCAGCTGAAGCTTTAGGTAAACTCAAGTGATGAGATAATATATTAACTTGGTTTCCTTGCTCTTCATTCTGATCACAAAAATTTATTTCTATTAAGAATATGAAATGAAAGTGGAAGAGCAAAACAAGAAAAGTGAGTATCCTCTCTCTCTCTCTCTCTCTCTCTCTCTGTATATATATATATACCTGAATATCAGAAAATATCTTTTCATTGCCAGTTCTCCCTCTTTTCAAGCCACTGAGATTTTCTGAGAGTTGTGGAGTGTCATTCCAAGAACCATAGGGGAATCCATGGCCATAATGTTGACCATCACCATTGCTACCTCTTTGTCTCCTATCATCATCAGGGCTAGTTGCCTCAATCTCCTCACTCCCAATTTCAGAGATTTGTGATAACATTCCCAAGGAAGAAGCACTTCTTGAAGAGAAGCTAATATGATTATTCAATCTATTAATACAAGGATTAACTTCATTACTTCCATTCACCCCACAAAAGTTTCCAACACCTTTCATGGTGGCAAACCCTGCCATTAACAAATTTATAACTTCTCAGTAGCCATTAATAATGAATATTTCATCTTAAAAACATATCATGTTCTGCCATACGTTATAGAATCTAGATTATAAAATTCAAGTTACCACAACTGTATCTGTATGTAAAACATAAGCTTGAATTTCCAATCCTGTGTCTAAATACACAAAGTGACATGCATAAAAGAGGTGACCTGAATAAAACAAGTGCCAAGAATACGTAAATTTCACTCAGGGTAGACTTTGAGAAATTTCATCCCCTACCAGGTATAGACAATTTCGATTATCAGATTCTAAGCAAAATAAATTGCATAAAATGTCAATCCCAATTATTATTTTCTGTTTCCATATACTAGAATATCTAGGCTTCTATGTTGTGATTGCAACTCAATTCACCACAGTAAGTAGCAAATACTCATTACATTATTACTCATAAAAATTGCATAGCTTCATATGACAATTCTCTGCTGCATACCCAACTAAAAATTCTATTTCCAGAAGCATGAATATAAACATTAAAATTTCCGAACGCGTAACCTATAAGCATGACAAATCCCATAAAATGTCCCCACAAAATCATCCTTTTCTATACTAAGACACTAGAAGAATTTATAGGCTTGTAAAAATTTAGCATAGCCAGTAGCTAAATTCAGGGCATATTTAGAGAATTTGAAATAACAATCTATTACTTTTTAGTAAGATAGCAAAAATAACCAATTATTTCTTTAAAATAAGCTAAACCAAACACATATAATACCATTCGCAACTAGAAATTCTATTACGAAAATTAAAATTTCCAAAAGAGTAGATTATATAAAAATAAAATAAAAAACAAAAGAGGAAGCAGAACAGAACAGAACAGAATAAGCACAATATAATACCATTTTGAAAGGTAATGTTGGAGAAAAGACCAGCAGGGGAACTATTCTGCCTGAGAAGACTTGAACCAAATCCCTTGTGGGGTGTTTCATGATCCATTCCCATTGACCCTACCATCCCATAAGAACCCTCCGTAGCAGAAGAACCATGCCTCGGATAGTGAGGTGGCAACCCACCAACACCATAACCCTGAGAATTCATGACACTCAAAGCCTTTGAACAATCCTTGTTCTCTTCAAAGCTAGTGGAAGCAACAGCAACAGTATCGTTGCTACTACTCACAAATCTAGAAATCAATTTATCCGATTCAGAACCTTCCCAGAAACTGTTGCTGCTGACAGAAGGTGTGAGATTTGAAAGTAGCGAAGTTGGTGCAGAGCGAAAACGAAGCAACCCAGATGAGGGTTGGTTCAGTTGATAACTTTGATGGGTATTGGAATCCATTGTTACTATTATTATATAATATGCTTATCTTATTACATGTCACGGTGAAAAAGATGAAAAGCAAAGTCACCACGATATGAGAAGCTGGGGAATCATGGTTGAAAAGACTGGTCGCTTTTTATCCAAGAGAGAAAAAATTCTCAGAATTTATTTTTTTTTCGTTGAGAGAGAAAACTCAAATAAGTTTTTTTCCTTTTTGTTTTTTCAGCTTAGTTCCTAAGCTGGGGTGGGATAAGATCTTGTGGTAGAAGCAACAGAGGGAAAGAAAGGTTGCACACAGTTCAAAGGGTGGGTATGGTGTTGTGTAGAAGCAGCAGAGATAGGAAGACAGATCCAGTGAAAGGGACAGGAGAGAGAGAGAGAGAGAGAGAGAGAGGGGTACATGTGCAGCTTCAGATTTGCTTTAGAAAGCAGTGAAAGCTAGGAAGATCTCATGGATGAGAGAGAAGGTAAGTTATACATTTTTTAATATGTATTTAAATATATATAATACAAAATTAATAAATAATATATTTTTTAATATAAGTTTTTTAAGTTTTATAACTTTTAATAAAAAATTTATTTTATTTAATATATAAATTTTTGTTGCATATGTTAAATATACACTAAAATTTATATATTATATTTATCTTGACTGAGATGCTAATTTGGGCCAATGAGAATGTACAAAAAGTCATCAATCGGGGTTTCGACCGAGTGTCCTTACTCTTTCCCTCTAGTATAGATTTTTGTACTCGGGATTCATGGTGAAGAATTAGAGAATGAAGTATTTCTTTAAGCGTTGAATTTTTATTTTTTTAACAAAATATGTTTCATTTTTATTTTTTATAAAATTATTTTTTTAAATTTTAATATTTTTTAAAAAGTTCACTTTAATCCTTTTCACTTATATGTTTTTACAAAAATTAAAATATAAACAAAAAATTTAAGACATGATAATATTTAACTTAATTAGAATTGTTAAAATAAGTTAGTAACTACTAATCAATTGAATTTGCAGTGAGTTTTCAACTAATTGAGTTATAAAATAGTTGATCCATACAATATTAGATTTTTTTTTAGCCAAGTCACCTAATTTACTAATTAAACAAACAAGTTAACATGTAAGTTTAGGGTTTAAAGTTCAAGATATAGGGTTTTGTGGTAAAAAATAGATTATGTCTTTATGAGGAGAAACATACCTTGAAGACCAGTGGCATAGACACATTTTTTTACTAAAATAAAACACAATCTTAGGTTTCTACATCCTAACGAAATAGGAACTCATGAAAAATTTTAAGGTTTGAAGCAACTATCAAAGGAGCAATTAACCACCAATTGAAGGTAAGAGATCGTGGGCACGAAGAAACGATTGTGGGCACGAAGCAGTCATGGAGAAAGCACGATCATGAACAGTTATGGGTGATAGCAGTTGAGAAAAAGCACGTTCAGAAGGCAATTATCAAAAAGTGCCGGCGAAAGAATGAAAGCAGTTGAGGAGGATCGCCTATAAATGTCACAAAGCTTTATATTCCCAAGGGACGACTTTTTGCACCACACACTTATGTCCAAACACTCTGCTCACTAAAATTTTGCACCGAGTCAAACACTAGTTACCAGAGCACTTACAGTCCTTGTTATTGTTTGCTTAGAATCATACGTTTACTTTTATGCAATTTATATTCCTGTAATTTGTTTTGAGTTTATTTTGCTTGTTTCTATTCCTACAATTTAGTTCTTGTTTAGCGCGTCTTGGCAAAACTTCTACATTCAATTCAATTTCGCATAATCGTTATTTACTATTTTCGCTTAATATTTTACTTTACAATGTCACTATGAATATTACATTTAACAATATACTTAAAATTATATAAAATAACTTAAAATTTAGCTCTCAAATTGCTCTTAAATTTATTTATTTACATTTTACAATTTTCACTGTAAACAATTATAAAACATTTAAAGAGAATGATTAAAATTTTATCTTAAATACGAAGAAGGTCAATGTGTTTAATTATACAAGAACTTAATTAAAATATCTTCACTTACACTGAGATTAAAATGAACTATTATATAACATTGCAGGAACCAAAATAAAATAATTTTATTACCAATTAGATTTAGTAATAGCAATTAAACTTTTTTATAGAGACTAATACGGGTTGATATGAGGTAGGTGTCCACTGAAGATTTTGTGTGTGACAACATTATAAGTAGAAATATTTATATTTGAAAAGTCCATCGTACGAGTGTCCAAGAACCATAATTTAAGGTCAAAACACTAAATATTGATGAACCTACCTTCATTTGTTTCTCTAAATTCTTTAATAGACTTATTCTCATTAATATTTATTTTTATTTATGTTATTTCATTGAAGACTCGATTCAATCTTGATCTAATTAAGTCTTATAAACCTTTAAGTGAGTTAGTCCTTGTTGGAACTACAAAGATTTAGAAAGGTTTATAATTGCTAATGTCAAATTTTTAACCATGTGTTAAAGTGTGTAGTATCGTCTTATAAAATACAAAAAATATTCAATGGTATAATCACAAAATACTCTAATACATGTGAAGACTCAAAATATGATCCAAGTATCCTTTCACTTCAAAGATTTATTTAATCAAAGAAAGATCACACAATTAAGGATCTACAAAACATAAAAGATCTATTTACCTTAATGTAAGACGAAATTTATCTTGAAAGTACTTGATAAAAGCGATGCTTAGAAATAAAACCAGGCTAGACCCTTTATAAATGTATGACTGTGATAACAAACAAACTTAAGTGTATTTTACTAAAGAGGTTGAAAAAATAAGACAAAGTGAGTACTATGCATTCAACAAACTTAAAATATTAAATGCATTCACTCTTCATTCTTTTTACATCATTAATTTGGCTCAATTTGAATAAAGTTGAGCTGTACTTGTAAGAGAAGAAAATAAAAAGTAAGACAACAAAAATCCTTTTGATAAATAAAAATTAACTTATGCATCTCATGCTTTCAATATGCTTTCAAGAAGTTGATTGAAAAAATTTGTAAAATATAAAAGAGCATAAGTTTATTTTATTTATAAGAGAAGTTTGACACATTTTACTTTTTTAATTTTTGTCTTTTATAAGTACTTATTGATAAATTAATTCAAACAAAATAGTTATCTCTTTTATATTTATTAAAGGTATCCTTCTAATAACATATTTATTTCTTTCAATTAAAAAATTTAGTTGCTAGGAGTGTGTTAGCTTAAATATGCTATGTTCAAAGAATACTTGGAATGTTGTACCTCGAGAGGAATATCAACAGTATTTAGGCTTTGAATATTCATCTCTTGCACTCTTAACTCTGATCGGTAACATATTGTTCAAAGCACAAAAAGTAGTTATTATTTTTAAAAAGCTTTCTTTTCAAACTTTCAAAACAACACTGTATAATAATTTTTGAAATGTTTGTTGGAAGACAAAAATTTATTTTACATTTAAAAAAGTATTAACATATTAAACTAATATTTCAAATATATATATATATATATATATATATGTATGTATGTATGTATAAACACAGTTCAACCTTCCTTTATTGTGTTTTTGTTTTATCACTTCTTTCGATCTCGATCAAGTATGATATTGGAGATCCACAACTCTCATTTGAGGTCTTCTTATTAATATTGAAATGATGTGACCTAGACGATTAATCCCATGTTAAGGAAACCATTGATTATTTGGTCATTTAAAACAAAGATTGACTTAGGTTGAATATAATCTAAAGCGTCCAATGTACAATTTTCTTTCATTTAAAATAGATATAATAAATTTACATAAAATAAAAAAATAGAACATCGTCGAAATATATATGATTTTGTTAAAATCAATCGAATGCATATAATGTCAAAGTACTTCTGTGACTCACAATTTTTTTCTTCAAATTAACTCTTAGCTAGAATTTAATTATGCTCAATTCAGTCTCTATTTTATTACCATCTATCTTGATAGTTTGATATAATAACAATATCAACATATCATATAAATGATAAATTTAAAAAAAAAATACCTCTAATATTAGATATTTTAAGAAATTTTAATTATATTATATTTTTTGTTTTATCATTTTTTTTATGTATATATTGTAAATGTATAAACTTTTAAAATAAACATTTGAATTTTTAAAAAAAATTTACAAAGAGGTGTTATCATACGTATACTTGAACAATAATACATTCATTTCACCTTAAATATCATAATAAAATTAAATTATTATGAAACTCTTAATTTGTATCTACTTAACCTTTTTTATTTTTTTCTAGCACAATAAAAAAAATTTATCATTTATTAATAGACAAAAATTGTCCTTGCAGATAGGCTTGTGACTAGGTAACATATTGGGATCAGTACTTGAGCTGTAGCTGAAAGAATATACCATACATCTTCTTCTATTAAAGGATAATCCATTAATAAAGCAAAGATATTTAAGTATGGTGCATTAGGTTAAAACGTCTATACTAATATTATGATGCTATTTGTAATATATAATAGAATTGTTTATTTAAACTCATACATCAATATTTATATTAAGAATTGTTTATTTTTTTATGACAAAATTTATATTAATATAATATTAAACTGTTGGTAATTTTAAAAAAAAAAAATAGTGAAATTAAGGTAATGTCAACGAGACTTATATGCAAATAAAACAAGCCTGTTGTGGTTTGTACAATTAATGATTTGAATCGAATAGCATATCTAGCAGCATCACACAGGATATATTATCGTTTAATAATGTAAACGATACCATATGCTAAAGGTTCAAGCAAAAATTTTGATAAAAAAAATTGTATTAAATAGTGTGTTCATAACCTTTCTCATTTAGATAATAATAAGACATTTTTCTTACTGTGCAGGAGAAACGAAATTCCTTTTTGTATTCCTTTTCTTTTCTTTTGGTGGCAAAGAGCAAAACATGGCATAATGCATAGATTCAATTCAATCTGTATCTGTCTAATCCTGATCATGAATTTTGATGATGATAATTGTACAGCAATGTCAATTATGGAACAAAATCGGTCTCAGAGTACTAAGAATATTATAGACTAGAATTATGCAATGTTTCTTTTTTATTCCCAAATGACGTAAAGTTAGATCGTTTGATTCGTAAAAGAAAAGAATAAAGAATTTTGATCGTTGAGTTATCTCATTACAGACCCTGAAAGGCAACTTTGGATGGAATCTCATCCCATCCTTCAAGCCTTTTAAATTTATATAAAATCTCTTGTATGATCATACACGAGAAAAATCTTCTTACGTAAGTTTAAAAATTTTTAACACGTTAGATGAAAATTAAATATAAAATTTTTTAAACTTACTATATGTGAGAAAATTCTGCCTCAACTTATTATTTTATTCTAAACTATTTATTATTTTTGTCTTTGGAACATAAATTATTTCTGTATAACGTGTATGTGATTTC